ACTCGTTAATAAAAAATAACTTTTAGTAATTTTTGTATTATTATTGATACTCATATTTTTAAAAATTACATTTTAAATTGAAAAAGGCATCTCCTTATCGTTCAACTGCAAGTTGCTGATGGCTTTCGCCATCTATCGGAATAAATATCAACTATTCTCGTTGATTTATAATTATTCCAGAATTGGCCAAGGGGCCAATGGGTAATTGGCCAATTCTGGAATAATTAAAAATCAACGAGAATAGTTGATATTTATTCCGATAGATGGCGCAGGCCACCAGCAACATTCAGTTGCACGATAAGGAGATGCCTTTTTCATAATTTATGTACCTTATCCCAGTACAATATCATATTTGTACTATTTTTTCACATTACATTATATATTACACATTAGTATACAAACGTATTGATACAATCAACAAAATGATGGTCTTTTCACATTAAATATTATTAAAAAAGAAATTTGCATATATATTACATACTTGCGAATGCCCCGGCTTCGCCCGGTTTTTATCCTAGTGATAGTTTGCCTAACCAACAATTTTTAATGATGGTATACTATTAGTAATAGTAAAATTTTTATCAATATATTATCGTTATATTTATCGTAAATATAAAGGCTGCCTGGCCGGCATTCATATTTCTTGAAAATAAAGATACTTCGGCCAGTAAATCTTTTTATTACCTCGACGTTTCAACAAAAATCTTTTGTCCTCGTCAGGAGCAAACAAAAATTAAAACATTTAGCAAGGCGTTATAAATTATTCTCTATAAATTAGATCTCTAATACTGTATTGGACGATTCTGCTTATATACGTAGCACTGAAGGGTGGAATCTTAGAAATGGTTTTCAAGAAAACTATGGACATAAACTTATGATTTATTATTTGCAAGTGTTTATGAACTTTTAGAACAATCTTGTAATTCTGAAACTTGGCCCACCTGCTGATTTGCCACCTTTGATATACTAGAAAATCAGAGATTAAATCAAAATAAAAAAATATATAGAGAATAATTTTTAACGCCTTGTCAAATGTTTTAATTTTTGTTTGCTTCTGACGAGGTCAAAAGATTTTTGTTGAAACGTCGAGACAATAAAAAGATTTACTGGTCGAAGTATCTTTAATTTCAAGAAATATGAATACCGGCCATGTAGCCTTTATCTTTACGGTATTTATTAAAATTAACAAGTAATCCAGGTCTAGGTTCTTTTAACTATTGTCATTTCTCTAGCCGTCGGGGGCTAGCATGATCTTTAACAGGAGAGAACTAGAAGTATGATATTCAAGATGTATGAGAAGAAGTATAAGGTTACCCTAAAAGTTGATAAACATATTATGATTTATATTTTCCAAGTGTTTATGAACTTTTGGGATAACCTTGATAATACAGTAGAACTTCGAACTTCTTTAATTCGAAAACCTCTTTAATTCGAATATTTATCTTGGTCCCTAGAATTTCCTATATAAATAATGTTGAAAAATCGTGGTTAATTCGAATTATGTCTTGGATAATTCGAACTTTTACGAGTTAAAATAAGGACCTGATACCGGTTCAAGGCGTAAAATTTTGCGAAATGACGTTGTAATATTGTAACAACGAATTTGTTATTTTATTATTATTAATTATTTTCTTAACAGAGTTATCAATTTTTATGTTTATATTTTGCTACTCTGTAAACTTCCCTCATTGTTTATCTTTTATTTTATCAATTATAGTTTGTCCTTGCCTTAAATAAATAGCTGTGTCACGCCGAAGTTTGTCTTTCCTAATTTTCCACGTGGCAACATCTTGCCGCAAGAGAAGTACTATATATAATAAATTTATTTTTATTGGATTTTTGAGACTCCTTATTTATCAAGAAAGCTAAAAGGAGCGAATATGTCGGCGCTTCGAACATACAAAACTTTGACGTTGGCTGAAAAAATAGCGGCGATTAAAGAAGTAGAGATGGGGATGAAAAAAAAATCCGATATTGCTAAGGACTTTGGGATTCCTCGAAACACGTTGTCGACGTACTTAAAAAATAAAGAAAAAATTCTCAGGAGTGAAAGTGAGTGTGATAAAGGACGAAAAAGGTTAAGGGAGCCGGGAAATCCTGATTTGGACAAATGTGTTTTAAAATGGTTCAAGCAAGCAAGAGATAAGAAGATTCCCGTGAGTGGTCACCTTTTAAGAAGCAAAGCTGAACAATTTGCTACTGAAATGGGGAAGACCGATTTTAAGGCGAGTTCTGGGTGGCTAGATGGCTTCAAAGAACGCAACAAAATTTCGTTCAAAACCATTTGTGGAGAAAGTGGGGCCGTTAATCTACAAGTAGCCGAACAATGGAAAAATAATTTACGGGAATTGATCCAGGATAAAGACGCTAGAGACGTCTTCAATGTTGATGAATATGACAATAGTATTTGTTTAAATTTTAAAAAGAATCTTACGTGTCTAATAGTTTCGAATTTACATATATTATTACATATATGTTCTGTGATTGGTGGATATATTAAGAAAAAAGGCATCTCCTGATTGGACAAGTGAAAGCGATACAATATTCGATACTATAGGGGGGAAATTGTTATTAATATTTAATCAATTTTCGTAACTATTATAGACACGTATGATTCTTTAAAAAAATCTAATGCCCTTACTGCAATGGAAAAATTAATGAGAGGGCCTGGTTCATCAGTGGTGAACCCTCCCAGCGGTTTTCGCCAAGTTTTATCTACCATACCGCTGTTATATTGCATTTTTCGGGTTTTCTTTTATAGTGATACTGATGCTAGACTCTTGGAATGGGTATTTTAGATGAACTATGGACATAAGCTTTGAGGACAGTAGAATTACATACAATTATAAATATATAATATGCTTCGAGCAATCGCTCTTCCGCAAATATCAAATTGACATATATTACATTTACAGAATTCTTATAGAAGAATGATTTAATCTCTGATTTTCTATATTAAGAGTGGCCAATCAGCAGGTGGGCTAAGTTTCAGAATTACAAGGTTGTCCCAAAAGGTCGTAAACATCTGCAAATGGTAAATCTTAATCATAATATAAGCTTATGTCCATAGTTTTCTAGAAAACCATTTCTGAGATTCCACCTCTCAATGTAACATATATAAACAGAATGATCCAATACAGTATTAGAGCTCTAAAGAAGCGGTCTGTTAGATTGAATTAACGAAACCGTTGGGAGGGTTCACTACTGATGAGCCAAGTCCTTCCAATATATTTTTTCATCACAGTAAGGACAGTAGAAGTTTGTATTACGTATAACAGAAACATCCATGCTTAAATCCTTTCATTTTTATGTATATAGATGACGATTTATTGCTTTGTGATAATCATAATATGTTTACGAACTTTTTTGGGATAACCTTATACATTCAGTTCTGGTGCAACATGAAGTCCTACATTCAGTTCTGGTGCAACATGAAGTCCTACATTAAGTACTGGTGTATCATGAAGCCATACAATCAACCTTAGTGTAGCATTATGCCTTATATTCAGTCCTGGTCTAACATTAGCTCTTATATTCAGTTCTGGTATAACATGTAGCCTTATATTCAATCCTGGTGAAACATTAAGCCTTACAATAATTCCTGGTGCAACATTAAGCCTTATATTCAGTCCTAAATTTACATGAAGACCTACATTCATTCCTGGTGCAACATTAAGTGTTATATTCAGTCCTGGCGTAGCATTATGCCTTACATTTAGTCTTGGTCTAACATTAGCTCTTATATTCAGTTCTGATATAACATTATGCCTTTCAATCCTGGTGAAACATTAGGTCTTATATTCTATACTGGTGAAACATTAAGACTTACATTCATTCCTAGTGCAACATTAGACGTTATATTCAGTCCCGGTGTAGCATTATGCCTTACATTTAGTCTTGGTCTAACATTAGCTCTTATATTCAGTTCTGATATAACATTATGCCTTTCAATCCTGGTGAAACATTAGGTCTTATATTCAATCCCGGTGTAGCATTATGCCTTACATTTAGTCCTAGTGCAACATTAGACATTATATTCATTCCCGGTGTAGCATTATGACTTACATTTAGCCTTGGTCTAACATTAGCTCTTATATTCAGTTCTGATATAACATTATGCCTTTCAATCCTGGTGAAAGATTAGGTCTTATATTCAATCCCGGTGTAGCATTATGCCTTACATTTAGTCCTAGTGCAACATTAGACATTATATTCAGTCCCGGTGTAGCATTATGACTTACATTTAGCCTTGGTCTAACATTAGCTCTTATATTTAGTTCTGATATTACATTATGCCTTTCAATCCTGGTGAAACATTAGGTCTTATATTCAATCCCGGTGTAGCATTATGACTTACATTTAGTCTTGGTCTAACATTAGCTCTTATATTCAGTCCCGGTGTAGCATTATGACTTACATTTAGCCTTGGTCTAACATTAGCTCTTATATTCAGTTCTGATATTACATTATGCCTTTCAATCCTGGTGAAACATTAGGTCTTATATTCAATCCCGGTGTAGCATTATGACTTACATTTAGTCTTGGTCTAACATTAGCTCTTATATTCAGTTCTGATATAACATTATGCCTTTCAATCCTGGTGAAACATTAGGTCTTATATTCAATCCCGGTGTAGCATTATGCCTTACATTTAGTCCTAGTGTATCATGGATTCTTATATTCACAGTCCTGATGTACCACGAAGCTTTGAATTCATTCCTGGTGCAACATGAAGCCATATATTCAGTCTTGGGGTAGCATGAAGTTTTACATTTAGTCCTGGTATAACATTAAGTTTTACCTTCAGTCCTGGAATAACATTAAGCCTTACAATCAGTCTAGGTCCAATATGAAGCTTTGAAACGAAATTTGAAAATTATCCCGCATGTGTATCTTTTGAATGAAAAAACGAAATTTATTTTAAGGAGAAATTTCTAACCTTAGGGATGAGGTATGAAAGGATGAATTGTGAAGAATAATGATAAACGGAAAAATAAAGTCTCCAGGGATGGGAATCGAACCCACGGTTACCGGTTAGATGCCATGTCCACTAGGCTACCCTGGAAATATTTTTCCGTTCGTAAATAATATATAAAGTAATTTATAATACACAATATAATGCGGATTATGATTATAAATTATAAATGAAGTTTTAAATTGAGTCCTGGTGTAACATGGAGCCTTACATTCAGTTATTGTATATAACATGAAGTCTAATATTCATCCTTAGTATAACATGAACTCTTACATTCATTCTTGACATGAAATATGAAGCCTTGCATTGAATCCTGGCGAAACTTGAAGCCTTACATTCAGTCCACGTGTTACATGAAGGACTACATTCATTCCTGGCGAAACATTAGGCCTTATTTTCAGTCCTGGTGTAACACGATAAAGCCTTTCATTCTTTCCTTGTCTAATCCCCCATAAAACCTTATATTCATGAATATTATATTTTGGAAAGATGAATATATTGAATTTAAAAATATTTTTATTATTCCGATATTTCGAGGGGCAAATCGCCTCTCTTTGTCGAGGATGTTTGTACTTTTCACTAAAACAAAATTAATAAAAATAGTTATAAATCCAATACATGCATCTTTTTAAAATATAATTTTAATTATGGATTGCTCAATCTTCAAATTCATGAATGTGTAAAGCCTTCAATTCTATCACAGTTTTTATGATATCTGTGGAAGCTTACATTTGAAACTGGTCCAGTCCTATAAAGTCTTTAATTCAATTCTTGTCTAATACGAAAGATCTTCTCATCCGTTCCAGTACAAGGAAGCTTTACATGGCTTGATTCATGACCAGCAATATCTCGGACCTACCCAATTTAAAGTTACCGCCATGTCCAACTCTAAGATTGCCCACTTCAGAGTGGCGGCAAGAAGGTGTTTCCTAGATAACGGCATCTTTGATCCCGCGTGTTTGCCATTGATAAGCAAGACCGCGTGAATTCTTGGGATACGTCGGCTTTCTTTACAACCTTCGCAATACCTCTGCACTTCACCTGAGTGAAATAATCAGTGAGACATTCCGTTACTCTTCATTAAATTTATTTAATTTCATAATTATTTTTTTACATTAAAATGTTTTTTTTTTTCAAACTGTAAAATGTCAGTATTATTTTAATTATCGTTGGGTAAACTTTTAAATTTTGTAATTAAATCTTAAAGTATCGTTAATAGACTTTTTAAAAAATGTCGTTAAAATTTAAATCACAAAATTGAAAATGTCATTTTATATTAAAATTTAAAAAAGGTATATATTTATAATATTTCGAAATATGTATGGTGTAAGTGTGTGTGTGTGTTTGGAATAAAAAAATTAAACCCTAAAATCTTCGAAAAATATTTGTACATATATAAATAGTTATAATAAAACATAATTCTAACCTAAAACCATCTATTATCATATTTCTAGAGTTTTATCGGTATAGCAAAAAAAAAAAAATAATAATAATAATAATTTTAAATATTATGATCATTCAAGATAAAAGGTGCTAGTGTGCATTCTCATTTTGAAAATATTGTGTGACTATAGCTTGAGCTTGGTTTTAATATATTGTAATCGTTTTAATTTATTAGATTCAATTTAAATAAATAAATATATATATATCTATCACATTGGATAAAAGGTGAATATTTTGTGTATTTTTATTTGTTAGTAGAGAGAAAATATATTATGGATATTTTTTGAAAATTATCTCGTAATTTGATTCAATATAAATTATATTTTTTATTAATATAAACATAGTTTATTTTTTTTTTGGAGAGGGAGATATTAAAACATATAATATAGAAATTAAAATAATTATCTTTCAATTAAAAAAAAAAATGTTAACCTACAAGAATTTATAGAATGCGAAAGATTATTCAATATTTTATTTCACAAATTATTTGAATTATAATTTATTAATATACGTTTTCGTATATTTTAATATTAAAAAATATATTTAAAATTCCGTATATAAACTATATAAATACAGATATTTTGCCTTCAAAATATTAAGTTGAAAATATTTTCTTGTAAAATGCTATACTACACAATGTGTAATGGGCTATAAGATGCCATAATAAATCCCAAAAAAATATTATACTTTGGGAATTTATTAAATAAGTTTTATCTCCCCTATCTTTTATAGTCAATGAAGTACGTATTATGACTTTGAAAACCTATTTGATAGGAATTTTTATTTTTCGTCACGAAATAGCTCCTTATATCAGAAGATAGGTAGTACCCAGGGAGGCACTTGCGTATATTACAGGATAAGTTTGCCTGATGCGTGCTCTTTGCGATCTAGTGTATTATGCTATAGTAAATGGCTTTAGTTATTTCCTGAAAGAAGGGTACTATCATTGGTGGCATCACATATACCCTCATGGACAAAACTTAAGGAAGTAGAAAGTTTTTATATCGTCGTCGTTTTTTTTTTTTTTTTTTTTTTAAGGAGACAGAGGAAATTTCGATCACACTTAGTTATATCGTGCCTTCAATAAAGGTCTCCGTAATATATTTCTGAGTTATTGTCTGAATCCCGATATACATGCTAAAAGGTACAACTTCCTTAAGTTTTGTCCATGAGTGTATCTTTCAGAGTTATTGTCTGAATCCCGATATACATGCTAAAAGGTACAACTTCCTTAAGTTTTGTCCATGAGTGTGTCTTTCAGAGTAATTGTCTGAATCCCGATATACATGCTAAAAGGTAATCTTCCTTAAGTTTTGTCCATGAGTGTATCTTTCAGTGTTATTGTCTGAATCCCGATATACATGCTAAAAAGTACAACTTTCTTAAGTTTTGTCCATGAGTGTATCTTTCAGAGTCATTGTCTGAATCCCGATATACATGCTAAAAGATACAACTTCCTTAAGTTTTGTCCATTAGTGTATCTTTCAGAGTTATTGTCTGAATCCCGATATACATGCTAAAAAGTACAACTTTCTTAAGTTTTGTCCATGAGTGTATCTTTCAGAGTCATTGTCTGAATCCCGATATACATGCTAAAAGGTACAACTTCCTTAAGTTTTGTCCATGAGTGTATTTCTAGGCCTAGATGTCCTCAATACAGACCAGAAGTAGCCTGATAGATGATGGGGTCCCAAACCGTAATTCCGCGGTATGGCGTTCCACAGATGCGGCCATTTGGGATCTTTTACCATATTGGAGTTGACTCATGCACGACAATGAGGCCATTTCTGAAACAGAAGAAGGACTCATCTGAAAACACGATTTTTTTCTATCCTTCAGTTTATGTGGTTATCGTGTTAATATGCAAAAAGAGGCGTCTAGGCCAGGGTTCGGCAAACTTTTGATTCGGAAGAGTCAAAAATTACATTCTATAAAATATCAGTTTCTGAAGAGCCACAAAATTGTTTCTTGCCAACAATAAATAGTACTCGCATTAATACATTGTTGCGTATGGAAATATATAAAGAGCCGCATGTGGGTCCCAAGCCGTAATTTTCCGATCACTGGTTTAGACTGTTGATTAATGGTAAATAGCATAACCCGCATCTTATCTGATTTTCACATGTATAGACATGTGGTGTACTTACAGTAAAAGACAGTCACCAACTACCCACCAGGATTATCATGGCCTGTACCACATGTAGACATGTGGTGTACTTACAGTAAAAGACAGTCGCTAACTACCCACCAGGATTATCATGGCCTGTACCATATGTAGACATGTGACAATTGACAATTAAAATACCTTTATTGACTTCTTGGTCAACTAGTATACTCCGAAGAGTTGAGCAACGTTAATTTTTACAAAAGAAATTTCACATCAGGCAGTTCCTCACTGAGGGTCGTCTGGGGGGTAAGGGGGTAACCTCCTTCTGAGCTCGTGTAAACACTCACGTGCAAAGGGATGTATGTCCCGAGCGCGCTCAACGGCCGCGCTGATGATTTCGGCGAGGAGATTTTTCCTCCGAGTGGAAAGTCTCCTGAGGAGAGGCTCCCTGTCCTCGGGGCATATGATAGCATCCGTGATATCACCCTCTGAGAGTCTCAACTCGGATAAGTGCTCCGAGTAGGGTTCACGGCCTAGGGCATCTATTATGTCATGAGCTTCCTTCCAGCGTTCATCAATAAATCGGGGAGACAGTGGAGGTGGAGGTGTCGCCATGTCCGGTGTTGTCTTTTCCCCGTGGGGAGCAGGTGGTGCCGGCTCAGCAGGCCGAGGCGCAGGCGGTGGAGGTGTAGGCACTGCGGCTGGTGTTGTCCTCAGCTCAGCTTTTACCTGTCCGAGGACTTTGTAAAGATTGCTGGCTGCTCCGGGCCTCAGATCTAAGATTTGCCTGATAATTCCGGCGAGGGCGTCGCACTGCGGAGGCGGCAGGAGGGGTACACTCCTCTGCGCTTTGGTCCTCGAGGAGAGGAGGTCCAGGACCTCCTCCCGCCCAAGACCAAGGGCGTCCGTCTCAGCGAAGGACACGCTGGGGTGCCTCTCGATGAACGCATCGAGGTCGATTCTCGTTGCGTTCTTTGCCGATGACGTGGAGGACGCAAGAGTCTCCTCCACGATGGACATCTCCACGTCCGGTGTTGGGGCCGCAGGTCCGAGGGTCTTCTGGGCGGGCAGAGGGCCACGCGGGGCAACGAGGTCCGGCCGAGCGGGAGGCGGCTCAGGATGTTGTGAACCGGCCGGGCGAGGGCCCACGGGACCCTCAGGCGCCTGCAGGGGCGGAGCAGGGGTCACAGGTGGAGGGGCAGAAGGCGTCTCCTCCATAGGCAAGGCCGGGGCCGCTGGTGTTGGACGGCTCTGCTGCCGGGACACGGTGGACGATGCACCAAGTGGAAGGGGTGCCGGTTGTGGCTGGCCGTTGTTGGAGGCTCTCCCAGGATTGATAGGGCAGTTGGCCCTACGGTGACCCTGCCGGCCGCATCTGGAGCACTTGACTCCATATGATATGAAGACCGAGAGGACGTTTCCTTTGTTTCTGATGACGACGCGGGTCGGGATCTTTTCCAGGGTAAAGCCCTCCTTTAGGAGGATGAATACCTCGCGTCGGCCATCCGTGAAGGTATACCTTCCGGCTTTCAGCCGGATA